AACTTCTGTTTCTTCTCTTAAGGGAAAAAAAAATAAACCTTTTTTTTCTCTCCAAAAAAAAAAATATAATGCACAAAATCTTCATATTCCAAAATTTCAAAATCAGAAAAGATACTTACACAATGTGAATATATATTATTTTTAAATGTTAAATTTGCACTTCTTGCTGCTTAGGCATGATTTATAATAATTAAATTTGTTATATTCTTCAAACAACTCATTCACATTACAGCTAAAACTACAACTATATATTAAAACCTCTCATTTCTTCCCACTTTAAAGTTTTGTAGCACGCTTTCTCCTTTTTGTTGTGTGGACAGTTTGATTTTACATCATTACAAATTTCCCAAATTTCAATCCCTAGTATAATAAGCAAAAATATGTCTAAAATAATACATGCCAATGCATGTTACCATTTGAGAGGTCACTCTAGTTTTGACTTACCAGAAAATACCTTACTCACAGCCAAGTGACACGTGCCTGCACACGGTTGGTGCTGATGTCACACTTTTCCTCGATTAAAAGAAAGAAAATGAAAGCTGTGGATCAAAAGTATCCAAGGGCAATGAGTCCACACCTTCAGATTTCTGTGTAGACAAACTGAACTAGGGAACTGGAAGGATGCTGAAAACACTAAAACCCTGATAATAGCTACACGAGTTTCTGGTTTGTTTCAGATCTGTTCAGGAAGCTATCCAGTCTTCTTTCCTTTGTTGAAATCTTACTAAAGATGCTAAAGCATGAAAGGGGTGCCCTGGGGGCTGGACCTGCAGCTCAGTGACAGAGTGACTAATTACCTGAAGGCCCTGAGTTCAAAACACAGAAAGGGCCTAAGAGCTTAGTCTACATGACTCTATGCCTCTAGATAACATCAGAGTAGCAGGAAACATCAAGGATTGTAACAGGGTTTAGAGGGGCATGGACCAGAATCAGGAAATCTTGTTAAAAGCTGAACAAATAGCTTCATTTCCCCCTTGAATAAAACAGGGCATTAACAAAACACACTTTGAGAATCCTCTGCTTCGATGAGTATATATTCATGTACTGTTACCATGAAGGAAAACTAAGAATGTTTCTGCAATTTCAGTATGTCTCCTTCAAAAAGTAGAGGTACCTACACATGCGAGCGAGTATTGTGCATTTTATTATTTGTGGTCTAGTTGGTTGAATGAAGAGTTTTATGGACAAATTAGATTGAGTGGAAAGGAGAAAAATGCAAAGGCTTAACTAGCCTCAGCCACCTTTCCAAACAGAGTTCTCCTTCAGGGTCTTTTTTCAATCTACATCTAGAGTTCTAAGGGTCTGAGTGCAGGGAAATCTGCCTCCGCCCTAAAGGGTGGTGCTTCTGTGATTAAGTGCTGGGCACTTGTTCCCCAAATCCAATTACAGCAGAGAAAGTTGGGGTGAGCCACAAGCCTTTTTTGTGTCTGTGTACTGAGGCCATATGCTCCTTTTCTCCACTTTTGCAAGCAACTTCTGAACTTTAGGAGAAAGTAAAATAATGGCGGTACAAATGGCAGCAGCAAGCAGTCTGCTGCTCGGAAAGTAATAGATGAGTTCAAATCCATTCATCTTCCAGGCCCATTGCACATCCAATTCCCCTCTTAGGAGTTAGCATCAGACAATGGGAATGGCATGACATTGGAAAATATGAATGAAGGAGTGACCACAGTAAGGTTGATGGCAATATTCTTAACCCCACATAAACCATATTTTGTGGTCTCTGGCCGTTTTTTTCTTCCCTCTACAATCTACCCTCTATGAGGCTAAGTGCTCAGGAGAGAGGAAATGCTGGGCAAATATTGTCTGAAAAGTCATGAATGTCCTTAGGCTACTCCACTGGGAGAAGAGAAAAGAGGGAATATATCACTGCTTATGAGCATCTGTGTCTCACACTAAATTTTCCCAGTCTTCAGAATACACAAGGAAGAAAAGGAAGGAATGCCTCTCTTACTGTTCATCTTGCATCTCTGGGTGCTGTCTTGCTGTGTTTCTCAATAGCTGTTAGTTCTTGACAAACTAACCAAATTCCTTCCAAGTAGTAGATGTTAGCTCCACCTAGCTTAAAAAGCATTTCTTAGAAAGCTAATCAGTATCACCTTGTCTGTCATTCCCTATCAAGCTTGCCTAATGGCTTGGCTGTCCTCTGAGCAATTTGCTGCATTTCTGCCACCGGTGTGTGGGCAGATAAGCTGTTCTGTCAAGCATTATCTTTCACAATCTTAAATAGACACAGTCCAGGATCTGTTTCTTTGTCAAGCCTGAGCATAGTCAAGCATCAAAGACCATTAAAAAAAAATAGTACTACTGTAGCCTTAGACTTAGCCATCAGGTTTTGCAAACGCTTGCTCACTGTGTTCTCAGCTGAGATAAAGACTGTTAATGCTTCACACAACTAAGTGGATATAAGAAAACCCCTACTCAGTCATTGTCACCAGCACCATCATTGCCACCACACCCATTATATTCTATTAAAGGGTAAAGGATAGAAAAAAATGACTGGGGATATGAGAGCAGTTTGAAAAACTTAAGTATCATGTAAAGTAGGACCTATCAGTACCACTCTGAAGTACAAGTTCCCAAACTACAAATATGGGCCAATCTAAAGTATTTACAGCACAACACAGTTAAATGTGGAATATTTGGTTTTCACCCAACCTCCCTTTTAAAATTTGCAATACTGAATCCTGGCTCTATTAATCCAGCTATGGTTCTTTGGATTAAGTCAGTACACTCCTGATTCAATGTGATATTGGCAACTGTCATTGTCTCTAATACAGAGTCTAAGAACAGGGCTAGATCCATCCTCTACTGTAAATTAAAGAGTTGAGATGACAGAGGATCCTTTCAGCAACCTGTCCCATCACAGTGGACCAAGAAAGAACAAAGCAGTTGCAGAAGTGTGTTCCCCAAGAGGTGCAGCAGTCCAGGCCAGTGCTGACTGAGAAGAGATGAGTGTGCAGGTCAATTACAAGCAAAGCGCCCTCTCCACTCCACAGATCATAACTGAGTTCCTCATATTGCTTCTTTCCTGAGCTACGGTTTATTTGATGATGCAAACAAACAAAATATCCATGCTTTCCCCTCTCAGAATATCATCCTATCCTTGGTAAGAGGAGCTGGCCTTGATGATTAGAGAATTACATTCAAGTTGTAGCTGAAGCTTGGGCAAATTACTACAAAAACAATATTAAATGGAGAAACAGAGGTAAGGAGACTCCTGCTGCTCCATCATCAGCACCACCTGTAAGATCATCATAAGCACGTTCTTTCTTCAAAGGCAGAAGACAGACAAAACCAAGTGACCGCAAACAAGATAGTAGTTTGAAGAAATATAAATATCATAAAATATAAAACATATCAGCACAGTTTCAATACACACGCCCCTAAAAGTGCAAAGATGGGACAATTTGGAGCATCTACAGAATGAGTCAACTCTGCAATATTTATTCTTCACCTAACTTCCGTTTTCAAATTTTCGGTGCGAAATCCTGTCCTGCGCAGTTTCCTTCAGCAAGCAGCTGCTTCCATGTCAGGCAGTTCTTATCAATGGCCAATATGACACTTTATTTCTCTCTTTTGTGATTCAAGAAACTCATTCACTTGGTGAGATCTCTAGGCACTAGTTGGCCTTTACAGAAAAGCCAAAAGAAGTTTCACAGTTTTCTCATTGGCAATAAATAAAGTCAATATGAAAAAAATAAAACTGACCACACATATCTTAACTGAAAAATATGCTTTTATCTTAGAGAATAAACCCAGACTACCTGTGAAGGGATTCTTTGCCTGTGCTAGAACAAACAAAATTCAGTCAACAAAAATGCAATGCACCAAGCATGGTGGCCCACACCTTTAGTCACAGCACTAGAGAGACAGAGGCAGGCAGATCTCTCTGAGTTCCAGGACAGCCTCATGTTTGCATCTGTGTCTAAATCAGCTGGGGCTACATAGTGAGACCTTATCTCAAAAAGAAAAAGAGAAAGAAAGGAAGGAAGGAAGAAGAAAAACGAAAGCCATATACAACTTGAAAAGTAATATTTGAGCTCCTGAATAGGATGGGGCACATCAGCAATTAACAGGTAAATTTTATCATAGAAGATGAATTCATCTTCCTCATTTTTATTCTATATATATAGAATTATATATATGTAATTATATAGTGTATATATATATATATATATATATATATATATATATATATATATATATACTCTTAGCACAAAAATGCTCCTATAGTGGTAACTTTTCCCAGTGCAACAGTTCAGAAGTAAGCACCAACAACTTTGCTGCTGTAGCTACCTTAGACTTGGTGAGCCTTGGGAATTTTGCAATCAATATTAGCACTGGTCATGCATGTGGTTCATTATTACAGTCAATGTAACAAATTCAACTTCATCTACACAGGCAAACCAGACAGCTTTAATCTTTCCTCTGCACAACAGAACCAGTGTTCTGTCACTGTGGAACCTCCCTCCCAGGACTCTGAATCTTTCTGAATGATGCTGCTAATGATTTGCTGGCTTCGGTGCTGTAGCTGCCAGCACAGAAGATGC